GCCTCAACAGTAAGCTAAGAGGTTGCTTCCAGAGCAGGATGCTGTTTAAAATGACTACAGCTTTTATATCAAATGGGGAAAATACAAATAACCCATAATAATACAAAATCCAGTAAGTTAAAAACTATAGGATAAGAAGGCAATGCTGTGAGGCTGGTTAACAACTGCAGGTAAGGCAGCAAACAAGAAAAAAACAGTTGAGGATTCAAAGACAAAGTTCTTATAGACCATTACTACAAGTGGAGAACAGGCTGGTTTAGGGGAATTTTTTCTCCTTACTGAGAAAAGTAAAAATCCACGCTAACATTACAAATATGTGGGGTCAGATCTTTAAGACAGGGATAAGAATACAACCAAAATTCAGAGTATCTTTCAGATAAAACCTAACAGTAGAGAGATGTAAAACAACAGTTGTAATGTTACCAGGATTTTGCTGGAAGCCTCAAATTTAGACAGTCCTCAGGATAATTGTTAGGATCAGAGGATGAAGAAAGATGGATATAGAAAAGAGGCGTAACTAGAGCGGGAGACCCAGGTGACACTTTCTGCCAGTAATACACTGAAGGTTCACACCTTCACACAATCTATCTACTTTGGGAAACCAATTAACTTTCCCACCCACTGAGTCAGAAACACAGTAATACTTCTTCTTAAACTCAGAACCTTAAAAAGGAAGGAAATTCTGATATATACTACAACATGGATGAAGCTGGAGGACATTAAGCCAGTCATAAAAAGGCAAAAACTGAAGGATTCCACTGATAAGCAGCCCCTGGAGTAGTCAAGCCATCATAGAGACAATGGAATGGATGTTGCCAGGGGCTGGGGAGAAGAGGAATGGGGTGTTAGGGAGTCATGGGGAGTTTCAGTTTTGCAAGATGAGAAAGTTCTAGAGACTGGGAGGCACAATAATATGAATGTATGAATGTACTACTGAAATTAACATGGTTAAGGTGGTAAATTTTTTGTTATATATATTTTACCACAATTAAAAATAAAGGCCTGGCATGGTGGCTCATGCCTGTAATCCCCCTAGAACTTTGATTTTTTTTTTTTTTTTTTTTGAGACGGAGTCTTGCTCTGTTGCCCAAGATGGAGTGCAGTGGGACTATCTCGGCGCACTGCAACCTCCAACTCCCTGGTTCAAGCAATTCTCCTGTCTCAGCCCCTCGAGTAGCTGGGATTACAGGCACGCGCCATCACACCCAGCTAATTTTTGTATTTTTAGTAGAGACAGGGTTTCACTATGTTGGCCAGGATGGTCTCGATCTTCTGACCTCAGGTGATCTGCCCACCTCGGCCTCCCAAAGTGCTAGAATTACAGGCATGAGCCATCGTGCCCAGCCATCTCCAAAACTTTGAGAGGCTGAGGCAGGCAGATGGCTTGAGCTCAAGAGTTTGAGACCAGCCTGGGAGACATGGCAAAACCCGATCTTTACAAAAAAAAAAAAAAATTAGCCAGGTGTGGTGGCATGCACTCGTAGTCCCAGCTACTCAGGAGTCTGAGATGGGAGGATCACGTAAACCCTGGAATGTGGAGGTTGCAATGAGCCCAGATCACACCACTGCATCCAGCCTGGGCAACAGAGCAGGAACTTCTTTCAAAAAAATAAATTAAAATATAAAATAAACAAAAATTTCACAGCAATATTCTAACTTCCCTGTCTGCTTACCATAGTTTCTTTCCCAAGAAACTATGATTTAACTTTTGTGTAGTGCATTTTAAAATAAGTATCTCACCACCAACTTGCAGCCTAAGAGATTTTTTTTTTTTTTTTGAGACGGAGTTTCGCCCTTGTTACCCAGGCTGGAGTGCAATGGCGCAATCTCGGCTCACCGCAACCTCCGCCTCCTGGGCTCAGGCAATTCTCCTGCCTCAGCCTCCTGAGTAGCTGGGATTACAGGCACGTGCCACCACGCCCAGCTAATTTTTTGTACTTTTTAGTAGAGACGGGGTTTCACCATGTTGACCAGGATGGTCTCGATCTCTCGACTTCGTGATCCACCCGCCTCGGCCTCCCAAAGTGCTGGGATTACAGGCTTGAGCCACTGCGCCCGGCTTTTTTTTTTTTTTTTTTTTTTTTGAGACAGAGTTTCGCTCTTGTTACCCAGGCTGGAGTGCAATGGCGCGATCTCGGCTCACCGCAACCTCCGCCTCCTGGGCTCAGGCAATTCTCCTGCCTCAGCCTCCTGAGTAGCTGGGATTACAGGCACGTGCCACCATGCCCAGCTAATTTTTTGTATTTTTAGTAGAGACGGGGTTTCAGTATGTTGACCGGGATGGTCTCGATCTCTCGACCTCGTGATCCACCCGCCTCGGCCTCCCAAAGTGCTGGGATTACAGGCTTGAGCCACCGCGCCCGGCTTTTTTTTTTTTTTTTTTAGAAGGAGTTTCACCATGTTGGTCAGGCTGGTCTTGAACTCCTGACCTCAGGTGATCCGCCCGCCTTGGCCTCCAAAGTGCTTGGATTACAGGCGTGAGCCACCGCGCCCGGCCCAAGCCTAAGAGATTTTTAAAGGAATATACAGCCAGGCATGGTGGCTTATGCCTTCATAATCCCAGCACTTTGGGAGGCTGGATCACCTGAGGTCAGACCAACATGGTGAAATCCTGTTTCTACTAAAAATACAAAAATTAGCAGGGCATGGTGGCATGCACCTGTAGTCCCAGCTACTCGGGAGGCTGAGGCAGGAAAATCACTTGACTCTTGGAGGCGGAGGTTGCAGTGAGCCGAGATCGCACCACTGCACTCCAGCTCAGGCAACAGAGTGAGACTCCATCTCAAAAAAAAAAAAAAAAGAAAAAAGAAAAAATTTACCGCCAGGTATGGTGGCTCACGCCTGTAATCTCAGTACTTTGGGAGGCCGAGATTGGTAGATCACCTGAGGTCAAGTTTTCAAAACCAGCCTGACCAACATGGTGAAATCCTGTCTCTACTAAAAATGCAAAAATTAGCTGGGCAGTATACACCTGTAATCCTAGCTTCTCAGGAGGCTGAGGCAGGAGAATCACTTGAACCTGGGAGGCAGAGGTTGCAGTGAGCCGGGATCGCACCACTGCACCCTAGCCTGGGTGACAGAGCAAGACTCTGTCTCAAAAAAAAAAAAAAAATGTACACACACTACCGACGACTAAAAAGTTAAATTAGCATGCAGCTAGCAGAAATGGTATTCAACATACAGGCAGGGGTGCCTTCCAGCAAACTGCTAATATGAATATTTAGACTATTCTAATTTAAATTCCTTCCATGCAAAAACTATCCAGCTTCCGCACGAAAAATAAGTCTATTAAAGAGATTTATTGCCACATTCCGAATGTTTAGGGAAGACTACAATCCTATTCTCAGTCGTAGAGACAGCTCACCTAACAACTACCCAAGTTCAGAGGGGATGCTGCTTGGGCTTTCGCCCAGTACTTTGTGACCTTGAGCAAACAATGACCTCTTCCAGCCTCAGTTTCCTCACTTATGTAATGAGGATGTCACCCAGCCTTTCTCAACTGTCTTATGAAAGGAAAGTATTGGCCAGGTGCGATACTTGGGATTATTGGCCTGTAATCCCAGCACTTTGGGAGGCTGCGGTAGGTGGATCACTTGAAGTCAGGAGATGGGAGACCAGCCTCAACAATATGGTGAAACCCCACCTCTACTGAAAAAATACAAAATTAGCCGGGTGTGGTGGCACATGTCTGCAATCCCAGCTACCTGGGAAACTGAGACAGGAGAACTGCTTGAACCGGGAGGTGGAGGTTGCAGTGAGCTGAGATCGTGCCACTGCACTCCTGCCTGGGCAATAAGACCGAAACTGTCTCAAAAAAAAAAAAAAAAAAAAAAAAAAGGAAGGTATTCTACCACCTTATTTTACGTAAAGAGAATCAACAAATTTAATAAACCCTGGAACTCAAAGACATAGTTTGCATTTCAAGGTAGTAACAGAACCTAAGTGATAAAATTTTATCCTAAGAATTTGGTTTAGAAAAATAAAGTTAACGTCTACTTTCAATAAAAGCTAAAAACTAGAAAACAACCATTTTAAGAACCTTAGCCTCTTCTAAAACCTCACAGTGACAACATCTGATCTAGCTAGTGTTTCCCAGCAGCTTCTTTCTGGCACTCCACTTCTGTTTCGGAAGGCTCCCAGGGACTGAATGCAGAGCTCCACAAGGAAGAACCATTTTCTACCACTAGCCTCCCTGAGACAAGTGGCAGGGTCCTTCAGTCCCCCAGGGACAGCCTGGGGGTTCCCTCTTCCTCCAAACAAACCAAATCATCTTGCTCACCCCTCCTCCCAAGGGGGCGGGCTCCTCTCCCCTGGGAGAAGAGCTGCCACTCCCCCTGCCTGCCAGCTGCAACCAATGTCAGCTTGCACAGCTGGGCCACCACACCCCTTCTGTGTCCAAAATAGAGGTTTGGTGGCTTGGAAGTCAATTCCCTCTCACTTTACACTCGGTTGCTAAAATCTATTTGTTTGCTAGCCCTTTGTAATGCTCCAATTTTTCTCTACGTTGAAATATTCTCCTTTGGTCTCACAGCTGGAAAGGACCCCCTAGCCTTAAACGCCATGCACAATTCCAACTCCCTTGCTATGTGTATTGATGGAAAGAGGGCTACGCGTGCCCAGGAAAGGTTCTTACTGAGTAAAACAGAAACTCCGTGGGCGGAGGGCCTAAAGGGGAGATCACCCTGAATCTGTCCCTCTGGCTTTATGCCCACCTATTTCAAACCTCACCAAAGCTGGAGGAAGAAAATTGACTATTGGCCTCCTCCTAAGTCTCAGGCCTAGAAGAAACTACACTGAACACTTGGATACCTATCCAAAGGTGCAGTGGAAAAACCCTCAGAGGAGAGCACAGAATGCAGACCCAAAGGACAGACATGCAGAGACGGCCACGCACACATCAGCTCCTGCTGCTGGTTGCTGGGTGGGAGAGGCAGGCAGGCAGCAACGCATAATGGGGGATCTGCAGCCAGGACTCCACACGCCATCCACCCGCCTCTTACCCACGGTGAGTCCCCTCTCCTGCGGCCCCAGTGTCCTGGCAAGCCCTGGGCAGCAACATCAAAGCCTCGGCAGGTCACAGCTCTCCACGTCAGAGGCCATGGTGGCTCTGTGCAGCGATCCCACAGTCCCAGGCTGCCGGGAGCTCCCACAGCTGTAGGTGCAGGGAGAGCTGGAGCAAGGACAGCATGTGTGCGCCAGCACAGCAGGGCCAGAGAGGAAGGTGTCCAGAGAAAACAAAAGCTGAGAGTACCGGCCCCGCAAGTGCAAACGCGCTGGGCCCAGTGGGGAAGGCTGGTGTGGACCGCAGAGATGGTCGCGCAGAGCTGCAGCCCTAGCTGACGCTCAGAGTGTGTGCTGCTCCGCTCCTCCAGGCTCATTTCCATGAATGCAGTCACAGCCAGCCCCTCCTACTACCCCCCATTCCCGGCCTCCAGGGGGTGGGGGGGCGGGGGGAGGGGAGGCACCGCCAGCATTTGCGCACAGGCTGCACTTGCTTTCCTCTTTCCCTTAGAAGCAAAAGCCTGATGCCTGCTTTCACCGCAAGAATGCCAGCCTTACTTCAGATGCCCTCTCTTTACTGCATGGATAAACAGGAGACTGGATCTAGGGGCAGATGTTCTGTCACCCCGAAAGCACAAGCCTAGGCCTTCCCACTGTCCTGCATCAGGTCAGCAGGCAAAGTGACACTGACCAGACTGCTCCAACATTGTCTTGGGGGGCTTCAGGAGGAATGTCCTTTGCTCCCTTCTTCCAGCGGTCCCATGCCCTCCGTTTCCACGAGGGACATTCCAGCGTTTTTACCAAGAAGGACTCACCTCCTACTCAGTACACTTCCAGCCACCAGTGGTTCTTTCTTCACCAGAGGCTGCTGCGTTGCCTTCAAGGACACTGGCCTGGTATCGGGTTGGGGTGTTAGGCCAGGTGAACCTCAGGGATGATAATGCAAGACGGCTGGTGACGGGAAACACGGTCACAGCCTGAGGGTGGCAGCTCTCAGACTTCAGAGGGCACAAGAATCACAAAGGGCACATGCTGAACAGGTAGATTTGGGACCCTAGTCCCATAAGCATGAACTCCAGAGACCCAGGCCCCCATGTTATATAGAACACAAGGTTACTGCAGACCTCACACAGCTTCTGACTAACAAGGGAGGAGACAGAGGTTTTTTAAACAATTCTAAAATAACCAAGGAGAGACAGTAGAGGGTGAATCATTGTGCTAGAGCAGGGTTCTTCAGTCTGGCCATTACTGGCAGAGGGAGCAGGTCACTCTGTGGTGGGGTCTTCCCTGTGCATTGCAGGGTGCTTAGCTATGTCCCTGGGCTCTACCCACTAGATGCCAGAAGCACTGCCATCACCATCCCACTTCTCCCCAACCAGGTGTGGCAACCAAAACTGTCTCCAGGCATTGCTGAATGTCCCCTGGGGGGCAAAACTGCCCTGGTTAAGAACCACTGCTCTAGATAAACAATGGAGGAAGGGATGGGAATCCTAAAAACACTCCTATATCCTCCCTCCTTCCCAGTCTCCTGCCTTTAGGAAATCAGTAAAGGGAAGAAAAAAAAAAAAAAAGGAAATCAGTAATGGAAGGCACCCACCCCTCTGCAAGCCCAGCCTCTACTGTCATGCCATGGGGGTTGGGCTGGCTGGGGAATGCAGACTGACGTCCTCATCACCAGGCAGTGCCACCAGGCCTGACCCAAATACCCTGGCTCTGCGTTGCAGCCTGTCTTTTCAGAAACAGCCACAGTGTGAACTTTAGTGTCAAGAAAGTATTACTCACTTAAAAGAATCAGACCAAGTCCATGTAAAATAAATTCTAAAATTGTACATTCTACAAAATGTAGATTGAGATTGAGAGTCCCAGTGCAGCACGTCCCGTGGCCCCCTGTCTTCCTCCTGCTCACTGTCTAGCAAGTCATCCCACCTCTCCTCCTAGTCCAGGGAAGATTCCACGTTCCCTGGATCCACCAGGGTACTCAGTTACAACGTCTCTGCTACTTTCTTCTTGTTCAGAAGCTCATCCTTGCCATCCATTGAGTCTTACCTCCTATAGGGAGAACTCCCTGATGACTCCAGCCATGCTCCCTGCTCAGTTTATGAGTATTAACCATCACCTGATGACCTTCTCTATCACTTGGTAAATAACAAGGTGATAAATTACATGATACAAACACATTGAGAGAAGACAGCCTGGACTATCCACACTCGTTATCTACCACTATGTCTTCCAGGGATTTCACGTTTATTTGAAATTAAGCTCTTGCTTTTCAGTAATACCATGTACTGTAAATATTCTCATAGCACTTTTCTTAGTCCCAAGGGCTGTCTTATTTTGAGGTGACATCACTGGTCTTTACACAAATACACATACACACACACACACTCTTCAGGAACTGAAAGAGCCCAGCAGGTGAGTCCTGACCTATCCCTCTCTACGTAAGACTCAGTCACCATGTGCAAAGCTCACTATGCCTCTACCTTTGACATAGCCAGCTTCCACTAAGCCGACAGAGTGGATCACAGCTGGGGGTTACTTGCAGTGTGTCAACCTAGGCAAGGCTTTAGCTTGACCCAGGCCAGAGACTGCAGGTAGCAAAAACCTGCACTTTCAGTCAGTCAGTCCTAGGCACAGACAACATGAGACAAGGACATCAGCAGACAAGAAGTTAGAAAACAAGCCGCAACCAAGAAGCCTTCAGTATGGCCCGCCTCATATCTGAAGAAAACAGATGCCATAATACATACTGCGACATCAAGCTTATGAAATCACAGCCATCAGAGAAAATCACAGGAAATGACTGGCCACGGAACAGGAATCTCAGGAATCCCAAAAAAAGAAAATGAACGTTTAAAAAAATAATTTCTCAATCTCATAATTCAACAAACTTTTTAAAAGTTCACTGCATGGAAACAATGCCCCTGTCAGTTACTGTGGAAGACACGACGCTGAAAAGACATGGTTTCAGCCCTCAAAGAGCTCATGTGTTACTATTCCTTTTAAAGAAAAAAGCAACAGGCAGCTGGCCATGTTAAAGGTAAAGGCATAGTAAGGGCCAAACAATGCCCTCTTCAAGGTGCGATGTGGAGTGGGGGTCAGAGAATAGCAGGGCCACGTTTGTCCAAGAGGGCTCCACACAAGAGCGGAGACTGGCATTCAGCCCCAGGCGCACCAGGGAGAGGACAGTCCAGGCAGAGGTGGAAAGGGACAGAGTCTGGAAGAGCAAGCTCCAGGCAGACTGTGGGGCCTTAGAATTGGACAGCGAGACAGTTGGATTCTATTTTGTTGCCCAGTTGGGTGACAGACAAAGAAAGAAGCTCTTGTGGAAGAGCCAGAAGCGGCAGCCAGGCGCCATGAGAAGCAAAGGGCCTGGAAGCTTTGCAGTAGTCTTCACTGCACTGCGGTCTGCACTTCAGCTCAGAAGCAGTAGCAAAGAAATAAGTGTTTTCTTGCCCTACTCCAGCTCACAGCTTCAACTACCATCCTTATCCAACACTAATTCCCCAAACCGCTACTGACTTTCCATCCTCTTTCCCGTTTTCTATCTCAGGCGCAAGGAGCACTAGCGGGAACCAGAAAGTGACCTTCTGACAAGCTTGTGAAGGAAATCTGCATCAATCATCTCTCTAAAGTGGAAAATGAGGCACGAGGAATACATTCAAATCTTGCAGTTCATCAGCATCCCAAACCCACTCATTCACAATGCTGTTGAAAGGTCCTCTCTGCCCATGAGGCGTCCCCAAACCCCACATCACCTGGGCCACAGGCTCCAAGCACCACAGACATGATAAGCATTCTTAGGCAAGTCATGACTCTCAATCTCCCCTCCTTCTGTGTCCCATGAACACAGAGGCCTGGGTTTTTTTTGTTTTCTTTAAACTCTGTTCTACTCCTTACACTTAAAAATGCCTCATTATTCTTTAGTAAACACTAAGAGTATAAAATGCTTCTTCAAAGAAGCAAAAACTGGCATCTGTTCCCGCTGAGATGGGCCTGAAGATCTCTTGAGAGGGAGGTCATTTATACCTTCACCTCAAAATAGAAATAAACTGGCTGCTCGTTCCAGACAGCACCCTTACCAGAGTTACCCTGAGTCCAGGTTTACAAAAGTTGGGGAGAAGTTTAAGAAGAAGCTGACTAGGGCACTAGCCTATCAAGTCGTGGGCAAACCCTGGGTACCGGCCCCCTGCCTCCACCTACCAGCAGGGCGAGGCTGGAGCAGGTGTGGCCAGCCCAACCCTCCTGGCCAGTGCATCCTTCCAGTACCAAGTGGATGTGCCAGGAGGACAGGCTTCTTTTCTGTCTTGGCTACTCTCAATGAGGCTGCTCTCGGACCGCCCCTGACTCCCGCCCATGCAGGGGGCAGAACTTGAGGAAGAAGAAAGAGGAGACCTGTGGCAGGGGCAGCCAAGGAGGGCAGTGAGGAGGAGCAGAAGGCAGGCCAAGCTCTGCACCTTTGAGATCCAGGTCAGCATACCTGCTCCAGAACTAGCTCAAGAGGCGCTGACCTGTAAGAAGCCAGTGAGTCCCTGATACCATGAAAGTGTCCTATGGCCTCCCTCCATGACAAACTAATGCCCACCTCTAGGTGGCACAATATAGTTGGTTTCTCTGGACAAACTCTGTTCTACCCCAAATCCTGGTAAATCCTCCCCAGCCTCTCACCTAGACAAGAAAAAACACGGGAAAACAAAGGGGACCTGAGCAGAGGTGGAAAGATCCCAGCAGTAACAGTTCTCGTACGTACACCACAGTGTTTAAAAATATCACTTACATTACCAACGTGATGTTTACGGAAGTGTAACGAAAAGGATATTAAACTTAATATGGGAAAATACACATATGAGAATAGTTAGAAAAATATGAAGGGAAGAAAGGGTAATGTGAGAGTGTACCTACCAGAGATTAAAGCAGGCGTCCCCAAACTTTTGACACAGGGGGCCAGTTCACTGTCCCTCAGACCGCTGGAGGGCCGCCACATACTGTGCTCCTCTCACTGACCACCAATGAAAGAGGTGCCCCTTCCTGAAGTGCGGTGGGGGGCCGGATAAATGGCCTCAGGGGACCACATGTGGCCAGCGGGCCGTAGTTTGGGGACGCCTGGATTAAAGCATGTGAGGCTTTGGTAATTAAAACTGCAGCAGAGAAGAAAAAGACCAGAAAACAAACTCAAGAAATACTGAAACACACAGGTAGCACTTTGAATTGGTGAAGAAAAATTGGATTATTCAGTCAAGGGTGCGAGGCAAATAAACAGCCAGCTAGACATCAGGGATAAAACTAAGCTGAATGCCCATCCATATCAAAATGAATTCTAGCTTAATCAAAGACGTTAATCTAAAATAAAACCTGAATAATTTTAGAATAAAGCATGAATTAATACGGTCATAATC